CCTTAGTCTTCCTTCTTGACCAAAATTAGAGAGGTAGGAGTGGGTATTTATAGAGCTTTGGCTTAACTCTTAGCCCTTGAAGTTCAAGAAAATTACAAAGGGTAGATGGACAAATCATAGCCCTTCATTTTTATTCCAAGAATAATGGAAAACAAAATGAAATAGATGGACAAATCTTAGGCTTCAAGAATGTGATCTTGCCACTTGTTCATGTGATGTCATGGTGATGATGTCACTTTGCTTGTGTCATGCCAAGATTATTTAACTTTAACCTTGGTTAATTTCCCTAATCACCATGATTACTTTTCTTAATGATATTCTAGAAACTCTATTTCCTTTTTATTTTCCATTTAAATACTTTTCCTCTAAATGGGCCTCCTTAGGCAGGATTTTTAGGCCAAATGGGCTGGAGAATTTTGCAGAAATTTTCATTTCCCTGGGTACCCTTACATTGCACTAAGTACTGGTATAGTGTTGGATGAATTTTTTTTTGTATCTTATCCATTTTACTGTCTCAGAAAATTTATCTCAGTGCACCATTAGCCTTCTCTTAGTGTAGGGAAGTTCCGTGATTTTTTTCAGAATTTAATTTCTTTAGGAATTTCCTAAATTCCATTTTCTCCAAAATCAACACTTTGTCAACAATAATTCTGCTTTAAATATTGTTAAAGCTAACCTCCTTATTATTTAAAGTCAGGAACAATTTTATAAATTATGATAATCCTTCAAAAAAATTTCTTATTTTTCTTAGAATTATTGAGGCCTCTAAATATTTTAAATAATTAACTTTGGTTACTATTACTTGGTGTAACCAAAAATTCCTGTAAATATACAAAATTCTATATTTATTTATTTTCCTTCTAATAATTCCTTTGGAGCGTCAAACACTGATCCTTGACCTTTATTTCTATTTTACATGATTTTTTAAAAATTTTTGGGAATTTCGAACTTGACTTCTCCATCAGATTTTCTTTTACTGATATTTCAAAAATATCAGTCTAGACACTGCCTAGGTTCTAGTTCAAAACTTGTGAGATCTATGTCGCTTTTGCACTAACTGGCCCTCGGTCTATTTTAATTCCCTTGTCTTCAAGATTAAAATTTTCATGATGTTACACTGAGTTTTATGTAATGATTTTTAGCTGCTGTTGTTTCCATTGGCAAGACTAGTCACTGGCAGCATCAGATCTCTCACCAATCTTTTCAGATGCGGATGATAACAGGAGAAGGGGGAATAGGGGATATTGGAAGTATGATGTGTTTTGGGAAACTTTGAACAAGCGTCAAATATTATTCATGACTCGCGGAGATGCCGTGTCTAGGTCACCTTCTTTTGTGCTTAAATCTAAGCTTCAGAAGACTTTGAAGGCGTTGGTACATTGGAGCTGTAATTCTATTGCTACTATTTCGACAAGAATTGATAATCTGGAGAAGCAACTTGGTGTTGTCATGTCATTATCAGATTCTTCTCAGTTATATGCTAAAGAGCAGAGACTAGAACAGGATTTGGAATTCTTTTGAGTGCCAAGAGACATTATGGGCACAGCGAGCAAAAGCTCTTCGGATGGTACATGGGGATCGAAATACTAAATATTTTCATGCTTATGTCAGAAGAAGACAAGCACAGAATCTTTTGGACTCAATCAAGAAGGAAGATGGAGAATGGATTCAGAATGATAGTGAAATGAAGAATGAGGCCATCAGTTTTTTCTCTAATATTCTCTCCTAACGAGCTGCCTTCATATACTTATTCCGGATCTGCAGATAGATTCAAATTTGAAGATTCAGAGGCGTCATGGCCTTGTAAAGTTAATATTCCAGTGCTTCCAGAACACCATCAGAGTTTATTACTCAAGCCATTTTCGCATAAGGAAATTCAAGAAGCTGTTTTTTAGTTACCTGCTGATAGTACGCCAAGAGTTGAAGGTTTTCATGCCCGGTGTTTTTCCAGAGAAATTGGGATCTCGTGAAGGACGATATTATTCAAATGGTTATACATTTTCAGGACAATGGGTTCATGCTGAAGGAAATGAATAGATCAGTACTCACCTTGCTTAAGAAATGCCCAGAAGCCGCAAGCTTTAGAGACTACTATCACATCAGTCTGTGCAATGTAAGTTACAAAATTATTTCTAAGGCTTTATGTAATAGACTAAAGCAAGTTTTGGATGATTATGTAGCGCCAAATAAAAGTGCATTCTTGACGGGGCGTTTGATTTCTGATAATATCTTAATTACTTCTCAAGTTATCCATAAAATTCAAAGCTGTAGGAGAGGCGAGACCCGTTGAGCAGCATTAAAAGTTTACTTTTCAAAAGCATGTGATTCCATATCTTGCTCCTTCTTGGAAAGTGTATTGCGTCGAATGGTCTTCCCTGATTCCTTTATTACTCTAATTATGCAATGTGTTTCTACAGTCTTGTACCAGGTGCGATTTAATGGCCAGTTAACAAGGCCTTTTAATCTTCATCGAGGACTACGACAAGCTGATCCTCTACAACCATACTTACTCATCATATGTGCAATTGTGCTCTCGTGCTTCATTAACCAGTTGCAAGATATTCGTTGGTGGAAGAGGATCAGAGTAGAAAGAGGATCCATGAAATTATCTCACTTGATGTATGCGGATGACACTTTATTATTCATGCAAGTGACTAAGGAAAATATGGTGCCGTTAAAAAGGGAGTTATTAGAGTTTGGTGAAACTTCTAGGCTAAAGATTAGTTATAACAACTCTCTATTTTTATTTAGCAAGAAAGCGTCTTCACAGATCAAGCATCAATTCTCTCTATAGATAGGAATTCGGTATGCGGATGCTCTTGGAAGATACTTGGGCGTAACTGTCGACGGTCCTCACACCAAAGCCAGAATCGCCCAGGATCTACTTAATAGGTTGGAAGGGAAGGTTCATAATTGGTCATCGCAGCTATTGTCGCAAGCGGGGAAAATGACGGTGATCAAATCGGTTGCTTATTCATCGATGACATACTGCCTATCATGTATTAGATTGCCTTCAAGCTGGACTGCTAAATTGGGCTCGTTGTGTGTTTCTGGGGGTCTTCTGATACTGGGAAAAGATTACACTTGAGAGCATGGAGAAAATTATGTTCACCTATGCAAGACGGATTAGGTCTTTCAGGGATTTAGATGATGCCCTACTTGCAAAAAACCTTTGACGCACTGTGCAAACAAAAGAGATGAAGTTATTGAAACGGGTTAGGCAGGATAAGATCTTGTTTTCAAAAGAGGGCGAGGTTTTTTCTAGGGGTTCAGGCTCATCTCGGATATGGAAAGGTATCTTGAAAACTAGGTATTTGATTGAACCGTTTCTACGATGGAAAATTGGTGCTGCTTCGACAATCCCAATCAAACACCATTTATGGTGGCCTTTGCCGTGTTCTCCGCCTAGTGTTATTCACTGGGTGTCTGATTTGATTAGGCAGGATGGGGAGGGATAGAATATGTCCAGGGTCGTACAGTTATATGGACAGGACATTTGAAGCCGAATCCTTGCTTCGACCTTTTCTTATCTGGGCAGGACTGATCATCTTCATTGGTCACCGAGTATAGACGGGGAATATTCTATCAGGAAAGCTTCAAGGCTTCTTACTACTGCGAATATTGACGCAGGTCCATCTCATTTGTGGGAAACCTTATGGCGGATTCCTTTGCCTTCCAAAATCATTATGCGAGGTTGGAGACTCCTAAATGAAGCATTACCACTTGGATCTGTTTTGAAACACCACCACCTGCAGACAAAGGCCGAGTGCCCCTGTTGTGGAAATGAAGAGGAAACAATTGATCTTTTATTTCTTCTATGTCCATGGTCAAGGGCCTTTTGGTTCCTACAGCCTTTTTCACTAAGGTCTCATGAAATATCTTCACTGGGAGTAATTCGGTGGTTGAAACAATGGCTTTCACAGTAAGATAGAAGAGACGGTAACTCTGTTTTAGTCACTCAAGTGATTCTCGTTGTGCTATATATCATGTGGGATCATAGGAATGCAGTGGTTCACAGGAAACAAGTGCTAACATCTGAAATGCAAAATATTTCTTTCATGACTCAGACACAAAGGACTTGGTTCTCATTGCATCATCAAGTGCAGTCGCGTGACTGGATAGTGGCTTGGAAGTTTGTTTTCGTCAAGCAGCAACCCATCAACAAAGTCATCTCACATATCGTAATATTCCACGACGGTATGTTTATTAAATCATTAAACTTTGATAATAAAGTCTTCTCATGCAGGTGGTGGTGGCTTGTAAAGATTGCGGAACATGTTCATGTGGATTCAGAATTCTGGTCTACTACAATGCAATGCATATCACCTCACAGTAAGATTATGAAATCGGAATACGAATTGTGAATCAGAAAGCCTATTTTTCAAATCTTGAATCAAAACGTATTGTGAATCGTAAGATCCCTGAACAATTATTAAAGATAAGATATAAGTAATTTTATAGAAGAAAATATCAAAAGTTTGTAGATATTAGGTTCCATACACTTCCCAAAAAATCAAATAATGCCAATACATATCAAATTTCAACAACAAATAATCTCCAAGATTAGGCAATAAAAAATTAGGGTTTTGATTAATATTTGATAAGTTGAAAGTAATAAATGCATTGGAGAGTATTTATACAGCAAATTGCCTCCTATAAATAACAAAAAAATCAAAAAAAATAAACAACAAAAAAAGGTTTTTGTTAACACGACACTGTCTAAATCGTGTGATTCTAGTGTGAATCGCTCAATTTAGGCAACTCATATCTTCTGTACTTTTAATGTAATCAAGTTATGGATTTTAACATGAACGAAACACCTTTAACTGCAGCTATGCTTAAGGGATTTTAATATGCAAATTTATATGTAAGATCAAAGCATTTAACTGCAATTCACCATTGTTTGAATTTATCTCATTGTGCTTGAATCAATAGAAAAAAACTTATCTTAGGAATCAGACTAGTTACATTACTCATCCATTTTATTAACCAAAAAGAAAAAGCCAAAGTTTTTGTCAATCTATCATAAAAGACTCATATAATACATGCAAGTAAGCGTACCATATCAGCTCCCATCTCTCTAGTATACAATGCATCAGAATTCGAATTCTGCAAACATACCATGTATCTAGACTTGCAATGACCTAAAGATATATCCAAATACAATTCAACTCACTTGTGTTTCTAATACTAAACATTTGATAAATTGACAAATTAGAGAGAGCCAAATTTGTGATAACTAGTTCGAAAAAATCAGTTGCCATACATTTCTGCTACAGAATAAACAAATATCATGAGAAATAAAATTAAAGAGGGACGTAAACAATATATTTCTACAGTGTGTTTACATACTATAAAACCGCAGGCACAGGTCATTTAGTCATGAAGTTTGTAGCAACTGATTGATGAACTCAATTTTCATCAAAAGAAATGGTCTGTGTTACCCCCCCCCCCCCCAAAAAAAAAAAAAAAGGATAATTGTAAAATTTTAAATTATGTCATCACTTAGGTTAAAAAGGGCAATGGGATGTCAGAGCTTTTTTACTCATAAAGTTACCTCTTAGACTTCAATCCTTCATCATGAATCCAACACATGATAAAAAGTATATAACATATTTGCATCACTGGGAAGTTTTAATTCGACAAAAATTTGACCCCTTTAGAAGCTATAAAATAAAAATGTAAAACCATTTGATCTCTCTATCGTGTTGCATGGGGTTATTATGCTAAAATATAAACGATGGATGCAAAAGAAAGACCATCTGAAGCTATGTAATAAGAACTGACCAAGGGTTTGGATCTTTGACTTCAGTCAATTCAATTTGCTCTCGAGAGCCAATGCATCAAAGCTGTCAACCATGGTTACTTGGCAGTGGCTCATCCCTGAGTTCCATTCATCAAGCAACAATTGCGCAATGGCAGATTAAATTAGGAAAATAATCTTCTCTATTTTCTCCTCCTTCCCCTCTCTCAATCTCTCACACCACTTCAGTCTATCTCTTTAACTCTTCTCCTCATCCGAAAACGTATCCAGCTACACTTGTGCACCTTGTGCAGACTGACAGTGACACAGGAGGATAGAGCCGCATTAACATCATGTCCCCACTTCTTCTTTTGTCAATGCATAGTTCAATCTCTCCCTCTACTTGATTAAATCAAAAGAGTATTTTGGCAGCATAGAGGAGCCTTTAATCCCCAGATCCCCTCTGGCCCCAAAATAGAATCCCAAGATCCATGATCCTCATCTCCCCTTTTATCATTGAGACATCGACTACTTCAATGGCACCACCCTCTACCCTATCTTATTTCTAAAATTGCCCTTGTTGAACTCAAAAATGTCAACACTATAGGGGAAACAGATAGAAAATAGAAAGAATGAGGAAGAGAAGTTTCAGGTTGAACTGACAAGAAAGATGAAGAGGCAAAGTATATAAATTTTAAAACTGGAAGAGATAACAAGGAAGGAAAAGATTGAAAAATAAAAAAGTGAAAGAATAACGAAGATGGAGGGAGGGAGGGAGAAAAGGAAGGAAAAAGAGCATGGACATGGAAAGGAGAAGGGAGGAAAAAGAACATTTGCAAAACTAGAAGTGGAAGCAATGGAGGAAAGCACAGGAAGTCAAAAACCAAAGCAGCAGGGTAGATTGGGACCCATAAAAGGACAAAGGTGTAAATTCACTGTACAAATATAAGATATTGGACCACACCTGCCACCACTCTCTATCTCTCTCCTCAATGAACCATCCAGTGCCTGTAGAAAATACTCGGCTGTTACATTAGTCATATCCTACAAATCCATTGCTTAAATGGGTTTGTTTTCTAATGGAGTCTTTGACCCTGACCTCACTTCAAGTTTCCTCAGGAATGGGATCCCCAATTTGTCCATTGAATTCAATATTTCTTCAGCTTTGCTTTCCTTACCAGCAGTTTTGTAGAAATGTACAGCAGCACTCAACATGAACCTGTCTCCTTTTATCGAGTTGCTTATACTTTCAAAGAAGTTAATACCTTCTTGCACATGCCCATGTTCCAGGTAACCTCTCAGCATTGTTCGGAAACATATTAGATCAGGAGTTAAACCAAAAGACAATAGTCTCTTATACACCCTGTTGGCTTCATCGATAAGCCCTGCTTTTGTGAATGCAGAGAGTAAAATGTTAAAATGGGCACAGGATGGCAAGACGCCTTTGTTCTGCATAGCATTAATGGTTTCCTCAGCTTCTGAGTACTTCAGACTCTCTGTATATGCCCGAATAAGGGAAAGATAGGTAAGAGAGTCAGGTGAACAGCCTTGTCTTTGCATAGCTTGGAAAAGTTCCACTGCTTCGTGAAGGAGCCCCGCATTAGCGTATACATTGATCATAATATTATAACTGATCTGCTTTTCCCCAGCAAATGCAAAAAATTGCATTAGGACAGTTGTAATCTCAAAATTAAAATATACAAGGAATATAAAATTTGAACTATGTGCTACGTTTCAGATATTGGAAATGTAGTATTACAGAACCACATGATCCCCTCATTCACGGTATGTGATTACAACACAGCTCCGCACAAGGATCCTAAAGTTAGTGCATTGAATAAGAAATTCCAAAATATTGAGCGTAGTGATCAAAGGAATCCTAAAATTAGTACACTGAAAAAGATTGTCTAAACCTTCAGAGAATCAGCCGTAAACAAAAACAGAAGTTATATAACTCTGAAGGACAAAGTTTATGTTTTTACTTGGCTGCAAAGGCTATTAAAGTAGGTGGCCTTTTGACAGTTCTCTAAATGATAATTGCCAATTATAAACTTCTGTGAAATTAGAATGAACCTTGCAAATTTACCTTTCCAGGTTTTATCCCTTCTTCATGCATTTTACTGAACAGCAGTGAAGCATCATGTATCATACCTATGAAAATAAATAACGCAGATTACAGCACGAAGTTACCAACCATATCAAAGTAATTTTGTTTTTCCTTCTTTTTTCCCCCCTATTTGATGCAAATAAAAACCAGGGATCTTTCAACAAATGACTAGCGCCACTGAAGCAATAGTTTATTGGCCAATCAATAGCCATCACTCTATAGATTTTAATTCTTGTAACAGGGTTAATGTGTGGATATATTTTGAAAAAGTCAGTTCAGTGATCCAAAAGTTGTTTAGACGATATAAATAAAAAGTGCTTGTAAATATATAATTACCGAAAAGGACATGGGTTTGATGACATGTAATTTTTGTTATCTAAAACTTGATTTGTTGGAAAAATATATAAATAACATGAATTTTAATATGTTGAATAATATATATAAATAAAAAATGTATAAATAATATAAAATCCAAAAGCCAAAAGATGCCCAATAAAGTTTTGCAAACTATCGTTTGAAATGAGTTTCTAGAAAGAGCTTTTAAAACCCAGACAAACTTTTAGCAAATGTTGGTTATGGAAATGGACTTTTGGGGTTTAAAAGCTGAAACCAAACACCCCCAGCTATATATGTCATTGTGTTTAAAGAACACATGACAAGAACAAGATGGCTTCCTGAAGCTCCATGTCAATAATATTAGATACTATGTTATGATTAGAGAAAATCATATGAAAAACCATAATAGGCCACTACCAGCCTTCCCGTAATAGCCAATCAAATTCATGTATGTCTTTTCATCCAAAGTCACAGGCAATGTACGAGCCTTGCCGAACATCTCTACAGCTCTATCCAACTTCTGATCTTCCCCATAAACACTGTAATGAAGAGCTCAACAATTTGATCAAAAAGCGACAAGAGATGGGAAATGAATAATTGTTAATAAATATAGAGAACACATTATCAAAACTATTACCTTATCATTGTGTTAAATGTTTGAATAGAAGGAGCAACTTTGAAGGAACACATGTGCTCATAAATACTAGAAGCAAAATTAAGTTTTCCTGACGAATAGACACTGTATTAGCAAGTGCAGTCTCTTTTATCTTCTAATTCAGATAAAATGTTTGATATCAACAGCATTTTAATCTTCCAATCTAAATGAAATGATTGATATCAACCTGCTTCAAGCATGGCTTTGATAAAGGTGTTATAAGCCACAGTATCAAGCTCTATGTTTGCTTGCAAGCTTCTTCTGACAACACTTTCAGCCTCCTGATGTTTTCCTGAAGATTTATGCATTGGATTATCAGTATTGCCATTAGAATATAAATACTAAAATCAACACAATGCTCTCATACTTTTCATACTTTAATTCTCCGAAACTACAACACAGGACCATATTAATCACAAAGATCATATTAGTCCGTGTTTGTTTGACATTACATGTACTATCAGGAAGTAAACTAAGATTTTGTCTTCCGTCACCACTGGACCTTATGTTTTGATCTTTCAAACAAAGCCAGTTATTTCAAATGATAAAATTAACTATTAGACCTGATTTATAAATGTATTTCAAGTAATAGGAGGCTAGCATTCCCATGAACCTCTTGATAAATTTGAGTACTACATAAATGTTGAAATTGGAAAGAAGCCTTGCTTACTTGAGCGGACCAAATTTCAATTTACGGGGGAAAACTGCTGAAGCTTTTTACTTCAGGAAAGCTGCAATGCTATCAGGCTCTAACTTAGGACGGGCATATATACACGGATCAGTAAATGATGACTTGCGGTTCTTTACAGACAGTCAGACATAATCAGAACTACAGAATGGTGAGAACTAGTGTAGAGCTTTTTCAAGGCTTAGCAGATCATAGAAGACACATCGCCTTGACAAATCCATCTTATTAATTGAACTATATTGAGAACAAAGAAAGCATTGATTGCATAAGACAATATAAATTTAGAGCCTGGTTTACTCTACAATTCTACAGTCTTACCTCCATTAGTCAAAGCATTCACAAGAATGCTAATTCCAACAGCACCCAGATCATGCCCTCCCTCTGTTACTTGCTCGTAAAGTGAACATGCCTCACCTTGTTTACCACATTTTACATATGCATCAATCATAGAATTATATACTAGTTCACCAGATCTATGAGAATTGGTATATTCTCTGAAGATATCTTCTGCCTGTTTCAGCATATGTTGTTTGCCATAATAGCTAATCAAAGAAGCTACAGCAAAATCTTCCAATCTTCCAAGCTTCATTACTTGATGACTGATAGTCTCTGCTTTGCTGATTTCTCCTGGGATTAAAAATTAAAAAAAAATTCTCAAGTTTAAGCAATTTTACTGCAAAAACAGATGAAAACTCAGCAAGATAGTATTCAAATGCTATGAAGCTCACAAACATACGATACTTCCCCCACAAACACACATAAATCGTATAGATTGTGTGAATATCAACTTTTAATTTTTCAAACTTCTCTCACTCGATGATGTCCTTCCAAAATCATATTACGTATGATACAAACAGTGCATTTAAATTCTCTCATACCCTCTTTGACAAAGTTGATAATAAGCTGATTAACCGTATTTGACCCAGCAACAGAATCAAGAAGTAACTCCAATATCACTTTTGTCCTGCTATAATTTCCAGTTGTCAGATATAAACTGAGCATTAGCCCAAGAGCTACAGTGTCAGGTTCATCAATGTCCATGAGTTTGTCATCAGATTGTTCATGTCTATTGTGTTTGCTAAGAACCCAATAAAACACCCGGAAGAATTTATTATCTCTAAAAGATTCAGTCTCAGCCATACGCATTGTCAACTCTTCAGCTTCTAGTACCATTCCCTCCTTACAATAAAACTTCATCACTGTACGATAAAGCTTCTCATCAAAATGCATCTGATTCTTTCTTACTTGGACAATAAAATCCTTGGCCTTATCAATCAAGCCAAGTCCCACATACAGGTTGAGCATATCATTACAAGAACCAGCATCAGGCGGTCCCATCTTCTTAAGTCCTAAAAATGTTTCTTCAGCGGATATTAAATCTTCTTTCATCACATAATACTGCAATAATACAATATATGCAAATCGAGAGAACCCTAGGTTTCTAGACTTCATGAGTTCAATAGTTTCTGAGGCCTTGTCTACATTTCCTGATGTAAGATGGACTTGTGCCATTGCTAAATATGTTTTCTCATCAGTGAGTAGGCCCAGCTGGTTTGCCTCTTCAAATGTTCTCTGAGCATCCTCATTTAAGCCAAGCTTTCCATAAATTCTTATAAGCAAACCACATATGACTTCATCAGCAGGAATATTTTTGCTCACCATTTCTGAGAAAAGGGAAAGGGCTCTAGAGTAGTCCTCGTATTTGTAATACAAAGATAGGAGTGAAGCACAGGTGTAATTACTTGGAATTATTCCTCGAGATCTAATATCCTCATATAGTCTTACTGCTTCATCCTTTTTGCCATTTTTCACACTTAAGCTAATAAGTAGGCTGTAGGTTACCTCCTCAGGAACAAATCCACCTTCCTTCATTTCTTCAAAAGTCTTGAAAGCATCTTCACGCAATCCTTCTTTGATGAATGAGCTGATGACAACCGTAAAAGTGAAATTATTAGGCATCACCTCTTTTCCCTTCATGTCCCTCCATATCTCCACAACCTCCCTGTGCAGTGATTTCTTTTGTAGAGAAGACAGCATAAAGTTGAAGACAGTGACAGATAATACAATACCCCTTTCTTTTACTGCTGAATAAAATGACAACATAGCCTTATGGCGCCCCCATCTGGCATATGAACAGAGCATAGTGCCACAAGCAACTTCATCTGGTTCACAGCCTGCGTCCAACATCTCCAAGAAGGTCTCTTCAGCAAGTTTAAGCTTTCCAACTTGCCCATATGCACGCAATACTAATGTGTAGACAATAACACTTGGGCGGTAGCACAGCTGTTCAAGAACCAAACAATGATTAAATAGCGTTAAACTGTATGCTTTGAAGGACAAAAGGAACAAAACAACAACAAATTGTAATGATTTCAGGTAATTCTTTTCTATTGGTGAACTGAGTTCAGGTCATTAAACATGTCAGACTCTTTAGGTTTACTTAACAACACCTATCCAAAAAGACACGAAGACCCATCATCAAGATATCAAAACTAAGTGACACCAAAAGGAAAATGAAAACCCAACCTGTAATTTCATCCAAGAAAAGAAGTCCCCGACTTGCCTCCACCCTTTCTGCTCTTTGAGAACAATGCACATCTCCCTAAAACTAAGCTTGCCCACAAATGATCCCATCACCATTCTCATATCGTACTCTCCCTCTGCCTTCTGGGACAGAGCTCGCACCTTCTTGATAGCGGCCACTACGTGTTTGCCGTACAAATGGCCATTCCTATCATCCTGCAAATACTGAACCATCTGCTCTGGGGTCCTTTTGATCCACCTCGGCGTCTGTGCTTGTGGACCTTGGTTCCTACGCAAAACACTCAGGTACTGAGCTTTGGCCTTGATAATGCGACGAGCGTTGTCATCCGACAAAGGCTTCTTGGGATTCCTGCTCCTAGGCTTTGGACTAGTAGGGTCGCCGTATTTGGGAGACCAAGGGTCTGGCTGGACTGAGGAGTGAACGGGCATTACCTTACGTCCAGTAAGGGGCTTCTTCTTCTTCTTCTTCAAGAATGTTTGATTCAATTCAAACGAACGAGGTAGGAGTGGAGGAGAGAATATGAACGAGGATTTGAGAGACTCCATATTCGAGCGGAGAGTGACGAAAAAGAACTTCCTGTCACTGCTGGATAGAAAAGGAAAAGAAATTAAATCCGCATGCCGTGCTCAGCGAATCTAAAGCGTGCTCATTCCCAAACGTTGCGGTTGGGGATAAGATGATTATTTTAAAAAATAAGTTCTATTAATTTTATTTTTTACTTATTTGGATTCCTTTATATTTAGTACTTTAAAATATTTTTTTAAGAGCACTTAAATAGAATCAAAATTATAATTTTAAAAGTATTTTTATAATATACAAAATAAATATGTGGAGGAATTTTTTTCAATTTATGAAAAAGTACTTTTAAAAAATACTTTTCATGATACCTAAACATCCTTTTAGTGGTACTTAATATTCTAAATTAATTATTTTTTAATGAATTATGCATCCTAAAATATTTTTTTCTGTAACACCTAGTATTCTAAATTATTTTTTAATGAATCTATCATCCTAGAGTATCTTTATAGTAGCAACCACCCAATATCCTAAATTAATTATTTTTTAATACATTCAGTATCTTAAAATGTTTTTACAGTAAGACCCAACACTCTAAATTAATTTTTTTTAGTAAATCAAGCATCCAGAAATAATTTTTCAGTGGCATCCAATGTTATGAATTAATTAATTTTGGTACATTCACTTCTTGAAATATTTTTCAGTAACACCTAATATTCTGAAAAACTAATTAATTTAAAATATTGAGTGCTATCAGAAAAATATTTTAAAGTGCTAGATACAAGTTAATCTAAATAAAAAAATAAAATTAATAGAAATTATTTGGGGGGAAAAAAGGATATCTCATCTCATCTCATCCCCAAACCAGTACGTTTAGGGGATGAGCATGAACTCAAAGAAATTCTCCCCTCGGCAAGATGGAGAACCTAACTTGTACAGATTATTAATTGAAAAAATGACCCAAAAAAATGATACTTAAATTTGAAAATACTAAAATGGTTACTTGAATTTGCAAAATCCCAATTTAGTGATAAGTGACCAATTTGACATTTATAAATTTGTTCAAATGACCATATTACCTTTTATTTTATTTATTGTTTTCTAAAAAAGCAAATGCCCCCATTGGTCGGCCAGTCATCGTAGCTCCAGTGCCCGCGGCGGCCATCAGTCGCCAGAGCTCAAGCAACCGATAACAGTTTTTTAAAAAAAAATTTTACAATTTCAGTAAAATAGTTAACAAGTTTTGTAACGCTATTAACAAGTTTATTATAGCAGTTAACAACAGGTTTTCCAAAAAATTCAAAAAGTAGTATTTTTACAATTTCAGTAATGCCGTTAACAAGTTCTGTAACTTTATTAACAATTATAGTATAGCATTTAACAACAGGTTTTCTAAAAAAAATAAAAAAAGGGCATGTTTACAACTTTAATAACTACTTTTTTGAAAATTTTTATAATTTCAGTAAAACGGTTAACAAGTTTTGTAATGCTATTAACAAGTTCAGTATAACAGTTAACAACAGGTTTTTCAAAACAACTCCGGTAATGCAATTAAAAAGTTCCATAACTCTATTAACAAGTTTGATATAGCATTTAACAACAAATTTTCTAAAAAATTCAAAAAGTGACATTTTTACAACTTTAGTAACGCGGTTAACAAGTCATGTAATGATATTAACAACTCTCATAAAAAGTTGATGTTTTTGATATTAGCTCCCTATGAAAGTTGTACAACAAAACTTTTCTACTTATTAGGCAGTATTAGGCTATTAGCTCCCTATGAAAGTTGTGCAACAAAACTTTTCCACTTATTAGGCAGGCATTATGGTTATGAGAGTTGTTAATATTATTCCATGACTTGTTAATCGCGTTACTAAAGTTGTAAAAATGTCATTTTTTTAATTTTTCAAAAAACCTATTGTTAAATGCTATACCAAATTTGTTAATAGAGTTACGAAACTTGTTAATTGCATTATTAAAGTTGTAAAAATGTTACTTTTGAATTTTCTGGAAAACTTGTTATTAACTGCTATACTGAACTTGTTAATAGTGTTACAAAACTTGTTATTCTGTAAAAATGATTAACAAGTTTTGTAACACTATTAACAAGTTCAGTATAGCAGTTAATAACAAGTTTTCCAGAAAATTCAAAAAGTAATTTTTTACAACTTTAGTAATGCAATTAACAAGTTTGATATAGCATTTAACAACAAATTTTCTGAGAAATTCAAAAAGTGATATTTTTACAACTTTAGTAACGCGGTTAACAAGTCATGTAACGATATTAACAACTCTCATAAAAAGTTGATGTTTTTGATATTAGCTCCCTATGAAAGTTGTACAACAAAACTTTTCTACTTATTAGGCAGTATGAGGCTATTAGCTCCCTATGAAAGTTGTGCAACAAAACTTTTCCACTTATTAGGTAGGCATTATGGTCATGAGAGTTGTTAATATTATTCCATGACTTGTTAATCGCGTTACTAAAGTTGTAAAAATGTTATTTTTTTAATTTTTCAAAAAACCTATTGTTAAATGCTATACCGAACTTGTTAATAGAGTTATGAAAATTGTTAATTGCATTACTAAAGTTATAAAAATGTTACTTTTTGAATTTTCTGGAAAACTTGTTATTAACTGCTATACTGAACTTGTTAATAGTGTTACAAAACTTGTTAACCATTTTACTGAAACTGTAAAATTTTAAAAAAAAAAAAAACAAAGTAGTTACTAAAGATGTAAAAATGCCATTTTATTGAATTTTTCAGAAAATTTGTTGTTAAATGATATATCGTAGTTGTTAATAGAGTTACGGAACTTGTTAACGACATTACTAAAGTTGTAAAAATGTTACTTTTTGAATTTTCTGGGAAACTTATTGTTAACTGTTATATTGAACTTATTAATAGCGTTACAAAATTTATTAACCATTTTTCTAAAGTTGTAAAAAATTTTTAAAAAATTGTTGCCGGCTATCGGAGCTTCGATGACTGCAACTGCTGCTGGCATCGAAGTTTCGGTGACCAGCCTGCCAGTGGGAGCATTTGGTTTTTTAAAAGACAATAAATAAAATAAAATGCAATATGGTCATTTCAATAAATTTACAGATATCAAATTGGCCACTTATGACTAAATTAGGATTTTGCAAATTCAAATGACCATTTTGGCATTTTCAAGTTTAAGTATCATTTTTGTGTTATTTTTTCTTATTAAATTTTTCAGAAAATAAGGCAAGTTCCATTGCATATTTCCGAAGGCCACTGTTAAAATAATGTTAGGTTTAAGGTTTTAATGATAACAAGTGAGTAATTTGTGATTCAGCATGTTGATCGATCAAGGTTTTATCGATAAGCTGATAGATAATAACTCTATCTAATTAAGTAAACTCAGCAGAAACTTTGATCGATAATGTGTTAGATAATGTGTTGATCGATCATTCTTAGTTGTATATGAAAATCTAGGATAAATTATTGATCACTTGATCGATAATCGGAAATATAAAATTAATAGGTGTTTATCGATCACATGATCGATAAAACTGGTTATCGATGAGAAGACAGATAAATGGTAATGTACTTTACTCATTCTATGTTTTGTTTTATCGCCATTTATCGATCACATTATCAATCAACTATTTATCGATAATATGATCAAACATTGTCTCATAACTCTTCGTGCAGGAATTTATTTTGGTGGTTTATCGATCACCTAATCGATAAGAACATTATCGATCACATGATCGATAATCAACATAACTCTGTCTCATCGTGGCTCTTCGATCACCGAATCGATAATCAGATTATCGATAATATTATCGATAACCATCCTTAATGCGTACATTGCTTTTCACATAACTTGATCGATAAATCAGCTCTTTTGTTTTACAAGAAAAGACCTCTTTATCGATAACATTATCGATCAAGCTTTTATCGATCATCTATTCGATCAACTTACATAGTCTGTGTTTTCACAAAATATACTTTTGTCTACTGTTTATCGATAAGGTTATCCATCATCTATTTATCGATAAAGTGTTCGATAATCAGTGTTTTAAAAGTCATTTCTATAACACTCTATTTATCGATTACCTGATCGATCAACAAGTGTTCGATCACTTGTTCGATCATGAGGCGATTTCAATTTAAAACCTTAAGTCTCGATGTTTCTCAAAATTTATCATATATTTCATTCGAGCTTTTCTCAACCTTCATAAGTGTCTTGTTTCACTATTTAAAGAATGCCAAAATTAAAAGCAACCTTGATCTTCATTGTCTATGCATCATAGTATGATATCACTATTTCCCTTTATCGATCACCTGATCGATAAAGTAATGATCCATAACTTGATCGATAATCTTAGTTCTCTGGTTCAAAGTCTTCACTCAGAATTATAGATAACCTGATCGATCAAGTAATAATCGAACAACACTTCGATCAAGCACGTTCAGTTAGAGCTGGTAATACGGGCTGGGCCTGCGGGCCCAGCCCGCCAACCCGCCAAAAATGGCGGGCTCGGGTTGGCAAAATGCCAGCCCGCCAAGGTGCGGGCTACTCCAGCCCGCACCGTTTTCAGCCCGCTCCGCCGCGGGCTAGCCCGCTTTTTTTTTTTTTTTTTAAATTTTAATTTTTATATAATTTCTAATATGTTATACAACATAATTGGAGGATTTTAACCCCCAAATTTCATATTTACATCTTCTCATCCATGTAATTGCATATGTAATGCATACATAAAAGATCTACTTAATTAATTTGGATAAGAAAAATAGTCAAATTAATTATTTAGAAAAAAATATGTGTTAGTTTTTCTAAAATATCTTCTCAAATTATAAATTAATCCTCACATTATTTTATTATAACTCATTACTCAAGTTTAAAACTCCAAATCTAATTTTAACATTACAAACTAAGTCCAAACTTATACAAGTAATAATTTTTTTTTAAAAAAAAAAGTTAGGCGGGCCGGCGGGCTCGGGCTGGCAAAATGCCAGCCCGCCAAAGTGCGGGCTACTTCAGCCCGCACCGCTTTTGGCCCGCACCGCTGCGGGCT